CTGAGGTTACAAACTTTTCCCCAACCACACCATGCCCATATTATGAAAACGTTTTATTTAGAGTTGAAAAATAATCACTTCTATTAAGGAAATAACGAAAAGATTTTAAGAAATACACCTTTTAACAATCTTGCTAAGCATTGTCCACGTGTTAATCAAAACAACATGTTTTCAGTAAGTTACGCCAGTGCAATAACATACGTAGGTTCAGGTTAGCACATCATACGAAACAAAGATTGACCGAGTTTGCCGGAAAACAATCAACGCGTCAATACAAGTTGAAACAATCCGAACTCAAAAGCTGATAAAGAGAGAACAATAACAGAAACCGAGGAGATACCAATATAAAAGACAACACGGACACTACCTACAAATATGAGTTCTGAACAAAATTGTCATTTTGTGACGTTAACATAATAAGTGTTTAATAGGTGATTCCTTTTTCATATTTCTACTGATAATTTAACATGCCAAGGACTTTTACCCTGCTGAAGCATGATCGACATAAAATACTGATTTAAGCATGAATATCTGTTGTATCCAGGTCGTACACGTGTAAAGTTACAAAGAGTTGCATAGGCACCTTCCCTTCCCCTGTAAGCCTTACACTTAAGATACGGGTTTACATTGTTTTGACATTTCGCACAACTATTGAGTAAAAAAACAGACGAAATGGTTCCCACGTGATACACATTTCTATGTTAGACATGTTGAGAATATAGTTGGAAATCGTGTCAGAATGACGACTTTGTGTGTTCTATACTGTAATTTAAGATACCTTTGATGTAAGCCACGGCTACGTGATCTATTAATTAACATTGCACACCTATCCAGAAAATATTGATCAATTTCAATCAGTGTTCTATTACCTTTCAGTCGATCAACATAAAACTGCTAGCGGAATCACCGCTGCTTTTAAAATGGATCCTACATCCAGAAACAGAAGTTCTACAGAAGGTTAAGTGTGATTCATCTTTGATACTACAGACATAATTTTCAGAAATTATAACAGCGCAGACGTTTTGTTTTTATCAAAAGAAAATTATTAAAATCATGAACACCATCTCCTGACTGTTGACAGCTGACGGTCCCATTGTCTTGTTCTTATGTATGGTATGAACCACTCCAATTACAGCGCTGATACCGATATTCTTAGCTAATCAATGTATATTTCTTTGTGTACCAAATACTGCCAATGTGTTAGTCTAACCATGCAAGGTGGGGGAAGGGAATGAAATCTAAATATTGAGTAAGATATGTAATATGACAACGTTCGGAAACTTAATGCGGGTTAAATGATCCGTGTGTCATGCATGTAAAGTAGGTTATCACTTAGTTTAGATCAGTCGTATATTGAAAACAAGAAAGTCGATAAACCTGTTTCATAGAGCAAAATGACGTCATCGTGTCTACTAGTATCACAATTATCATTATCAAATCGCATGGACAACGGTAATGAATACAACGTTAACGCTAGTTGCAATTCCGGGGAGCAATGTTAAGGGCAAAGTCGTGTCTTAGAATGACGAGAACGCGCGGATAAATTAATGTCTACTGGGTATTTTGGTTTGGTGTTCTTGGCGTCCTACCGTGTACACATGTGTTGTAAATAACTAACAATGGTCCTATAGAAAATATGGCGCTTTTTTTCGTCGTCAAATCAGTCTTCTGTTTCCTTTGTGTTGTTTATTTTCATTTCCTGTGACGAGTGTAGTCCAGCAGAAACGAAGATGTCAGAAAACAATGGAATGTACAATTTTAAATTACGGCTAAGTTGCTGAACATGAATGAAGTTTATTCTGAGGATAACTTACCATTTAGGCCTGACAGAAACGAGTGTTGGATTCGGTGGAGTTACCGTATGATTCTTGTAGACAAAACTTACTACTACAAACTTTTCCCTTCCATCTGAAGACACGATTTTGGCAGCAACCATTCTGTTCAATTACAGCCACTATTGTTCCCTGTGATTGCTACTGGTTCCCAATACACCGGTCTTATAATCATTACTCATATGTCTTTAAAGCATTGCATGTATAGTGATTTTGATTTGCCGTTTTAAAATCTGATACTCTAGGTAGTAGTGATACAGAAAATTCTTCCGTTCGTAAGATCTAAATTAAATTCTATTTCAAGAACTTTACCAATTTGTTTGGTCTAAACATGTCGGTTATAATACATCTCTAAGCTTATATTAAGGAAATATGTAAACACACGTTTGTTTTTATGAAACTGTCGCTTAATTGGGGTACATCTTTGGGTAAATGCGGTGCTTAATATGAAACGGTCTATTATTTGTACAACATATCATTATTAGATATGCCACTGTTGGTTTGTATTGAGACGTAACGTTTAAAACAGAATTTTATTAATTGTTGACAAGTGACTAACATTTAACTAAAATTGACTAATATAAACATATCGCTGATAAAATGTGGACTTTTACATGAAACATTATAAATCAGATGAGCAAAGTTGATGTTGTATACAAAACGTTGCCACTGACAACCTTTTGCTTAAAATTATAATTTAAACCACCAATTCTCAGTTGTCATTGAGTCAATGGCGAACATTCATCGCGAATAGCCTGTTTAACAGTTATCGATTTACATGAAACAAAGCTAAAGGTTGACACGAACGAATCCACGTAGGACTGTACTAGTGGTGGGAAGGACAGAAAACAAGGATTGGGATAGAGACCGAACTCTTCAATCTTTCGATTGTGCCTAATTTCAACATATTATACAATGATTTTTAACCTTTTGTTAGTACTATGCATATTATAAATCTCCAACTAGTATTAAGAGAACTACATTGTATCGAAGTCTTTGTAAATTGAGTAGGCACCTGTTACGGAGTTAAACAGGTTAATCATTACAATTACAAGATTTCTTTTGGTTCTTCCAAACTTCCAAAATAAATAGTAATTTGATATTGGATCCAGGTGTAGATTTATTAATTATTGAGAATAACTGAGTAATTTAACAAATTAATGTACTAACACATTATCTAGGATACAAAACAGATAACGAGTAGTGTAAAAAGCAGATGTACAAATAGTAAGTATGAATATACTGTACAGGTATAATACCATCATGTTATCTGTTAGGCCACTATGGTGTTCACTACACCAATAATTCACCCACACTATAAGTGGAAGCATATGGGGGAGACGAAATTAAATCTGAATGTTTCAAAATAGTTTTACAATGAGGTGGTGTGAGATAGACGGTAATTACATGGCTGGTGAACTGTGAAAGAAGGTATGAAATGTACTCAAAATATACTTACAGAAACAAATGTCATAAAAAACTAATGATGATGAGATAAATGACGAAATGTACGAACAGCTCGTATAAAAATATATATAAACTAAATTAATGAAAAACTAAATAAATACTTTTACAAATTGAATGCCTCAAACATCCCATAACCAAAATAACGGCGCCCTTTAATTTCAGTAATTTATGAATACAGCAAAAATCTTTCAAGCTCAAGTTCTTTATTAGGCCTTGGGCAATTATGCTCATCAGCTAATCAATCAAATTACTTTGATGTGTCATGGCGTGAAATCAGTGCAAAGAAATGCTGTATAAAAAGCACAGGTACATATAATCATAACATCAGGTAGTAATGTATTTTATATCATTACAACTGTACAAATAATCACTTAAGTATTGTTTCTTGATCTCATTTTTTTTGCTTAAAAAATAAACTTACATACATGATTTAATTCCTTATTGTTCTGTACACTTATGTACTCTGTACGACTAATGACCCGTTATCTGTAGTAATGTATACAGGCGCCAATTCAATCTATTTAACAGCGGCAAGCTGAATACAATTTTGCTTGAATTCCAACAAAAAATATGTATATAACAATTTTTAATAAAATTAAATTTTGCCAGTCTAATCAATTTGCATTTTTGAATTCAACGCACAATTTGAAAATAATATGAATAAAAGTTTCTTAATAAATTGATAAAGTAGCAGGCTTTTCTCGGATTGAACATCATTCCATTTTATTTCCATATTCCCACGACACTATGAAACTTTTCCTGTGACGTGAATGTATTTTGTAAGTTTGATCACACAAAATTAAAATCGACTCAAACGGGTTTTGCTGTAGTATTGGGTGTCTTTAAAATCAATTCAAAATAAGGAAGTTTCAGTTTAAAAATTGAGTAATATCAAATGTGTTGATAATGTTCTAAACATTGATGAAATTAAAGCTAAGCAGATATTTATAAATTCAAAAATTTAAACTGAGTGTGCTAGATTTCCATACATATCGGTAGAAATAACAATCGTTGTGCTGTTCTTTTGTCAAACAACTGGCTAATGCTACTATGAATGTTGAGAAGTAAACAGTAAAATTATCACCATAAGGCGACATCAGACATTCCTTTTATTGTTGATAAAATTCCTGGCCAGCTACTATATACACAAAAGTGCTACCTAATTATTTGTGCCTATCGTTATACCCCTTGGGCTATTTTGTCTATTTAGCCATACAATATGGTAGAATCTATGCATTCGTTCAACATTCATCAAACATAACAATGCATTCTTATTTTCGCAGATAAACGATTAAATTAAATTAAACTTCGTAGGATTTACAGGCATGTAACGTTTATGAATTAATTCTTATGTCCGCATTGACTTCGCGTGATCTTGGATGAATGCACGTCTAGATTTTTGGTATAGCCTATTTCATAAAAGCTCATTGCCACTGGCCACCACTTAGTAATTACTTCTATGTGCTGCACACACAACATTGCAACAAAACTTACCGATATGATTGAAAATCACATTTAAAATATATGTAATAATCGGTACGTTAAGCATACAGCCGAAACGGCAGTTAAGGGGGAAATGTTCCCCGAGCACTCTGTTGTCGTTACCAGTTCGTTGTATAAATATCGTGGCGTGCCCTAACCGACCGATATTCTTATCATTCAGAAATCCTGACACACTTGAATACGTTTCTCGGTAAAATAGGGGGCAAATTTATGTTATGACACTAAGAACTCCAATTTTTAAGGATAGTCACATGAAAAGAACAAAACAATGAAACAAGTGATAGATATTTGGCCTTGATCACTATGGATTCGAAACTATGGATCATCGGATCTTTCTAGCTCCGACGGTGTAATTGACCAATCATTTTACGAGGTTGTTTACGTCTTGTTTTTCCGCTAGGTTGTGTATGCTGTACGATTCTGTCTGGATTATGGTGACCTTTTTCTTGAATAACTTTGCCAATTTAACATTTGAGCCAAAAAAAGTGTTACAAATGGATATTAATCATTTCAGTTATTGTTGAAATGAATGAATTAGACAAACAGAGGAATCGACATGGGTATTTTCTTGGTTCTACTGCGCACAAAGTCTACTGACAGTCTCGCCGAAGTTCAAGGCCTTACTCGGTATTTCTGTACGTACTGAATCAACGATTCAGGGGATCCGGATATATTTATAAACTGATAGGATTATCTTTGTGTAATAATGTCTTGATTACAATCTTTTACATTGGAATAACCATGATGTGAAGTCAAACGATCTCCAGTTTTACTGGAACAACATGTCCTAGGCCTGCTGTTATTTGGAATATGGCCGATTGTGTGTTGAGTTCATTGATAAACAATCCACTTGGAATGTATCGTGATCAGCAGTGTGACGTTCCATAGTAAAATATCTTTTACATTTTAATTAAACACTAAGACAAGGAAATAACTATACCTGTCAATAAGTTCGTGTGAAAATATCTGTGATATCATTCTAAATATGTGTAAGTTAACGTTGAATGCTGCGTTATGCATTTCCTGTGTGGCGTTTCTCGCGGCAACAACTGGATCTAATGTATACGGGCAAATTGCGGAGACGGGCGTTGAAACTAAACAAGAAATAAGTAAGTAACCATGTTGCCTAGATGTAAAACTTTCATGTTGAACTCCTCTTTGTATGTCATTTGTTGTACCCATGCAGTTTGCGCCAATTGTGATGAATGAATTCTCGAGTGACTGTCTAACTTCCGGTGTACACAAGCAGGCATGCATTTATATAAGCCGTTTTTCATTTCACTAGATATGTCCCGACATTACACGTTTTATATACACATAACTGTAACTTGTATTTGGTCAGATTTTGTATGGTCGTATGTTTAATTTCTAGATTGTAAGCATGAATATTTGAGCTTTAAGTTTGTGTATTAGCATGTGTATTCCAGTCTGGCCACATGGGCTAGTGGATTGACCTCACCCGGAGAAACAGATGGGATGGTCTCTGGCCAACAGAGGTCATCGTTGGTCATCAAGTCAAGTTCAACACCATGCATGGATCACTGGCTGAAGTAATTGTCTGGCCACAAAACTAATGTGATTGACTTAAAAATTGTTTTGATATGTGTTTGTTCTGGTTTTTTTTTCAATTTGATTTTACACTTTTACTTTCATTTAGGAGAATTTAATATAAATATATATATATATATCTGTGCATGGTTATATTTAATTGATATGCACAATTGTTTTAAATGCTACTTTAAAGAGAGGGATCAATATTTTGTTAAAAATGTCACACTATTACAATGTTAATACTGCTATAAGATATACTTTTGCAAAGGTTCACCTTTTTTTCTATAAAGTAATATTGGGCTATAATTTTTCTTCAATATCCTGCTAATAAATGTTTGCATTATAGTCAGGAAAAAAATTATGTATTTTTAAATACCAGTAGTTTCCCAGGTACTGAATTTCTTTTTTTTTCATTTAAATTTTTATGTGAAACTTGTTATCCAAACTGTCTTTCATTAATTTCTATCAGCCGTTGCTGTACTTGAATGCCCACAAACTTAAAAAAAAAAAAAACACCAATCAGTATGCATCCCTTTCAGTAATAATTGAGATAATAATATTGGTTATTAAGCTTATGTCTGATAATAACATGAAGATGCTGATAATTAATGATAAAATTCTGCAGTGAATGCAACAAATATTTATGTAAAGCAAAGCACGGCAAATATCCTACATAATCACATTTCCTCTGCTTCAGATTTTTTTTGTGTTGAATTTATTAACAAAAAAGCTTTGTCTGGATGATATAAAATGTAATATCATTATTTCTTGAAGGACGTTTCAGATAATTTTACAGTCGTTAATGGGATTTTTTTTTCACTAGGTGGATGGAGCATGCCGAAATGTGATAAAAGAGACAATTTATCTATTGTATATTGGATTCTACCAATCACTTCATTTTGTAGGTCATGGTAACTTAATATTAGCTTTACATTAAAAAACATGATACATAATTAAAATGTATCTGTCAAGTAAAAGAGGAAATTTGTCTTCTTTTAATTTTTTCATTATTTTGTGAATTGAAATAGCCATATACCTATTTGTGTCTATATTCTTGTCAGTATTTCACACTGGATGTATTCTTTTCAGCTCCAAAAACCTTTTTACAGAATTTAGTTTCATTTGTAAGTCCAATAGGTCAATTATTTTAAAAAATGTTTCCTTTCCCTTTTTGGTTTTTTGTTGTTGTTATAGTCTCATAACAACATTTGCCTTCGCAATACATTACAATGGAAGGATACAGAGCAACAGTAAATATAATCATATCAGGTGACCTGCACACTTTGGTGAATACTGTGATAGGATAATTAGCCAAGTAAAATTGTGTGTTTCCTATTCCATTTATATGAATTTGTGTCCAGGTACGTAGACCTGTAGCCAAAACACTTTTTGTTCCAAGTTACTTTATGCCATTATCACGGACAACATAATTAATTTGAGTAAATATATGTAATCTGTAAGAGAAATTCCAGTTTAAACATTTTTAACAAATTCTCAACATTATTTATATGTATTTCAGTGATTCAGTGTTTTTGTTACCTTAATTTTACAACAGCCTGTTCATATATGAATTGGGAAAGTATAGCATTATTTGTATTGAAATTAGGAGTATATCCTTCAATTTTTGATCATTTTGGGAAAATAAGACACATTTTCTCTAGGGGAAACAGCCTGTATTAGGCAGTAAAACTAAGCAAAAAAATCACTGGTGATTCTACATGAATGGATTCTTCAAAACAGATTCAGTTGCAATTGTTTATTTCAGACTAATTTATTTTCCAAAAGAATATTTAAGAAGCATTTTGTTTTTGCCCTTGGGTTGTCACATGCTCAAATCATGATCAGTAGTCTATGTTAAACTTTATAAGACAGGTTCTGTGAATCTCTTTGTTTTGTTGAGTCCATAAACATCATCCTAATAAACACTTTTGTCATGATTTATGGATGGTCTGATACCTTGCAGGTTGCTAAAAGTGCAGAAAACAGCCTGAAAGTGATTATCAGTGGATGCTCATCACCAAAGAAGATCTACAAATCTTTTTGACAGATTGAAATTTTCATCATCACAGTATTGTGTTGTTGATCAATGTATCTGTGTTTGCTGAAGTCTCATTTTCTAACTTGATTTGTAACTTTTTTTTAAGAGGAGGACATTTTGGTTTTTAAGCCACACATGTTAATCTCATCGTAATTTCAGACACCAGTTGATGAGTGTTACATGAGACATGTTATACCAAAGTGGTTTTGCATTATATTTGGTATTAAAGCAAAATAATTTCTTTAAATTTATAATAAACATATAATGATAATTTTGTATTAATTCAGAACCAATTCATATACAAGTGATGTATTGAATAACAGCTACAAAGAGTTTGTTGAAGAACTAAAAATAATCTTTGTGTATTTCATTGGAACTTTTCCGAATATTTTTTCAAACTTAAGACAGAAAGCATTAACAATTTTATACACATTTTAAACTTTGAAATTTGTATTAATAATAAAAACAAATATAATCTATGGCTGCTGTAAATAGTGTTCAGTTTGATCATGCCCAACTTGAGGGGGGCAAGTGGATTTTGAAACAAATGATTTGACAGTATGAAATACCATCACATGGCCATGGTATGACTTCTCTTTTTGCAATTGTGATGTTACATTTTACATAAAATTTTGTTCTAATTTGCACAAAAATAATCATGCCATTTATGCTGAAAAGCTAGATTATTATAATATATAATTAGGTTGTAATTAACAAGACATCCAACATATGAAAATAAATTTTAATTTATATCCAATTTCACAGTAATTTATTTGCTGAAGCTCTTAGACAGAACAAACTTGCACTTTTGGATATTGCATACAGGAAAGGTTTTGTTGCGTTTTCACTTTCACTTTTCGTTCTCCATGATGAAAGTGAACCTATTCTGACAGCAAATATTAACCCTTTCACCCCCATGTAACTTAAGTAAACTCTACCATGCATCGATCTTCTTGAGTCCATGATTGTCTACAGTGGTGAAAGGGTTAATATCCAATGTGCTATCAGAGCTTTTTCTGGAGATTTATTGGGCCAATATTTGGATAATGGGCCCAATTTAAAACTGAAATTACTTTATATATATATGCCTATATCTAATTTCTAAAATTCACGGTTTACTCCTGAATTTTCCATCCCAATCGGTACATATTTTCTTCTCAAAATAACACCAAAAGGCCCCTTCTCAAATGAAAGGGGAAAAACAGACAATATAATGTCATTGCACATAAAGGTGAAATGCTACAATGTATGTCCATGGATTTTTGGTGAATGGCTCAAGTTTTACTTGGCAAGTGATTTCTAATATACAGTTAACTCTTTCACCACTGTAGACCAAAATGGACTCATATCCAGATCAATGCATTGTAGAGTCTACTTAAGTTACATAGGGGTGAAAGGGTTAAATGTGATCAATTTTCACTCATTAGATATATCCTTTCCGGAGAGTCCATTACAAAGTATTTGTCTGATGCCACCATTAAATAATGACCAAGCCTATAAATATTTTGATATAAACTGATGACAGACATATATATACTTAAACCCCAGTACCTTTATTGGAAGTTCAGAAAAATCTTTTCCTAACTCTCTGTAAGCAGTGGTATTATATATGTTTTTTTGTCTTTTTAATGCTTATTTTTCATTTGACTTGATATGTATAATGCACAATTCTATTTATTAGGATTGTTCTTGTCAGACGGTTAAATGTTGGCGGCTGATCTGTAATAACAATGCTATATTGACTTGTTGGATGATCGGCGGACTGACATTGGCCAACTATATGATAACAAACAATTGATTTTTTGTGATGCGTTGCCTCTGTTTGATTATAGTACATAGAATGAGAGTCTAGGTGACCTTGTCCTCGGACAGCTTGACTGACTTTAATTTCCAAAACAACTTGAGTAATCAGTGGTCACATGGCCATTTCATGCTTATAGTCGGTGCTGGTGAGGTATTTTTGGATAGCTTTTTATATCCTCCTACAGCTGGTGCTTGTGGTGTCTGTTATCTTTGATTCTCTTTACTGAACTTTTTTTTTTACATATGAAGCTAGAGCTTCTTTGTTAATGTTCAACTAGTATTCCTTATTAATTGAATTAATTTTTTGACTGATTTTTTTAATGATTTCACAATCTTTTTGTATACATTACTTACAATCCTTTTTATCATATTTAAAGTTTTTTAATTGAAAAAAATGTCTTGGTGTTTATCCTGATTGTAAGGTCAATTAAAGAAAAATTGAATCCGAAAATTTCTGTCTTCGTTTGGGAAAATATTTGGTGGCCATAGTATGTACATGTACTGTAGTAGATATTCGGTGACCCAGTACATATGATATATACGACAGTAGGTTTGTTGGTCATGCCACTAACGTTGATACATTCTTGTTCAAGTGGATGAGATCGTTTTTGTTTACCGTAGAATTGTCTGCTTCTGATATTTCTCAGATAACCAATATGATCTGATCAAATCTTTTTCTTCTCCTGTTAGCAGGAGCTCTGCTTGAACATGCATACA